CTGGCATCACAATCAACTCTTCAATAAATGCAAAGGTTTTATATTACTATTAATCATTACATTACTTATATCTAGAATTACCTGGAATCTCAGTTTTTGTATTACTTATTTTCCTCTTCAAAATATATTCATATATAACCTTAAAAAAACAAAGGTTGCTACAGTGCAATAGAGAAAGATATATATGTGATATACGAAAGCGTTTCTTAAAAAAAAGGTTATTAAGTACATGATACCTGCAACTATCTAATATAACAATAATATATGTTACTGATAAGAATGTTTATATAAACTAAAAGTAAAAATTTATCATGGAATTGTTCCTATAATGTTACAGTAATCTGATAATTAAACAATCACCTTTCACACAATTTTCATATCATGGAAGCTTGACTGCCGTACAGTGTCCTGAGAGGAATTCAAATGTCTAACATGGCAAAGAAAAACGGTAACTACTAAGAATGCCCTCATAAAAATAGTCCATGATTGGGGAAAAATATACTTTCTTTGGTATCAAAATTTAACATCCATTTCTGCCCCTTGAACCAAAAGCAAAAGAAAAATGAAGCGTAGTAATCTTTAAAACATAAATTCTTTATACAGACTCAACACCATTTAAAACAAAATATAATATCAGTTTAAACCATAGAATGATAGATCAATAATTCATTGGCAAAATTGTGGAAAAGTGAGATCTAGACTGGGAGTGTATATGGCGTACAAACGTTTAGCTCATTAAATTGTAAAATATAGCAATATCTGCAACTGAAAATAAAATTCCTCATTACAGACTGATACAAAGGTACAAACAATTTGCAAAACAAACAAGTCCCTGCTTTGGGTTCAACAAGTACACAACCTATAAAAAAAGCAAAACACTTTAATACTGTCCTTGTGTTTCAGTTTGATCATGCATACTTAAACAGGTCACCTTTTTGTTCAACAAGTATGACTAGCACCTTTTCCAGTCTAAAACACTATATATCATGTAGCAGCAACCTCTCCTTCCGAAAATAAAATGAGATGAGAATAAAGCTTCAGAAAATGATTGCATGCTATCACAAACTTAGATCAGTTCCCTAGATAACAAGCTAATATTTTACCACAGAAGAGGGACTTACAAGACAGGGAATAGAGACACAGAGGAAATGGTGGTACGATAAACATAACAAAAAAGTGTTTGGCATGATGGATATCATGTTTGCTTTACATTAATAACTGATAATGAGATATGCCAAAGGGTGTTAAGCCTCCTATGGAAAGGCAATCAGAGTTTTAACAAATGGTCTCATACCTTTAGAGCCTAAAAGTTTACTAGTGAGGGAAAGCTCTTTGATTCTAAAATCAAAACTATTTGAGATAAACATTCTCGATTTCATTTTCATTTTCATGTGAACACAGTCTGAAAGGATTTTTTTACTGCCTAAAAGTACAAGTAAATACACCTGTCTGTCTCATTTCAAATTTCATTGCAAAATATCAATGGTTTTGGCATAATGTTTTCTGAAAAAAGAGAGACAAATATATATCAATACATATCAATATATATATATATCCATCTACATATAAGCACAACACATGTGCACAACAAATTTTCTAACGCAAAAAGTAAAGAGTCCAGCTGACAGTAAGATACATAATTTTCTTATTATATATATATATTTCAACAGTAATGTTAACCTGATCCTCCCATGTTTGTCTAACTAGTATATTGCCTTGGCAAAAATCTGATAAACTTATCTAAGAAATAGATATGATGTATGTTACATCTCTTTATTGACTTTTTTTTTTTAATTCTGTGTATAAGTTCATTCTTTTCACTCAACTTCAATATTAGCAATCTAAGCAAGAGTGAATTAATATTTTCATTATCATTATTTCATGTTTTGTAATTCAAAAAGAAAAAAGAAAACATTTTAATTTTCCCGAATTGCAAAAGAACATATGGAAATATGCATTACCTCTACAAATATTGACATAAAGAGTAAATATGTTAAGAATCATAGTATACCCAAAATTGGAAAGTTGTATTCAAGATATAAGTGATTTTACTGCCTACAGCTTATGTATGTGTATATGAATATGTGTATATACATACAAATAGAAAGACAGACAGACATACACAGATAATCAGAAGGATAAACAGACAGACAAAAAGATATATAAACTGTAAGGCAAACAGATAGAGGGTTAGACATATAGACAAAGAGATGCATTTGTACAAAGTTGGCTAGTACTGTTTTTCCTTATTCCTATCACTCGTGGTACTATTAGTTACTAACCAGTATGGCCAGAGGCACCACATGTAGTGCTTAAGTTGTCCAAGCAGTAGCAGTAAGTGGTACTTTTTGGTATAATCTAAATATTTGAAGCATAAACCATTTGTAGTGCTATTAATCTAGCATAAAGAGACAGAACTTTTTCATTCAGCAAAAACATTTCATAAATTTGTTTTTATTACAAACTTACAGCACAAAAATTTGTCCGTCATGATATTCAGTATGCTATTTCTTGCTTTCTCAGCTTTGCATCTTTGTTTCTATTTCATACAAGTTTGTGCTACTTTGCAAAAATCTGAACTTAGAAATACACTTGTAACAGAATAATGGAATATTACAAAACCTGAATTATTAAAAAATCACATTTCATACCTCACTGAAATAATGTTACTCTCCATACATTATGCATGCACTGTTAACACTAAGGTAGTACTCAAAATAAATGGTACCATTAATGTAACCAAAACCTTTTTTTTTTTTTCAAACAGTATTTTCACTGTACCACCAGACCAACTGTGTGTGTGTGTGTTTGTGTGCGTGTGTATGGAGGGGGGGGGATGGGTAGGTATAGGTGGGTATGGGTGGGTATAGGTGGGTATGGGTGGGTATGTGGGTGTAGAGATAGCAAAATAGATAGGTATATAGATAGACAGGCATATAGATCAGTAATTAGATACATAGACAGATATATAGGTGGGTAGATAAGATAGATAGATAGATAGATAGATAGATAGATAGATAGATAGATAGATAGATAGATAGATAGATAGATAGATAGATAGATAGATAGATAGATAGATAGATAGATAGATAGATAGATAGATAGACAGATAGACAGATAGACAGATAGATAGATAGATAGTTAGATAGATAGATAGAAAGATAGAGATATAGATAGAGAGGCAGACAGACAGACAGATAGATACACAGATAGATATATACACTGATGGATAAAAGACAGACAAATAAATATTCGGATCAATATATAAATGTGCTTGTATGTGTGCACACATATTTATAGGCATAGGTATATGTGTACATGTATGTATGTTAACACACATTTTCTACTCATTGATACTCATTCAAAGGATCCCATGCAAACATGTATATATCATATATAAAAACCGTGAGCTTAGTATCCAATCATTCTCATTCTTTCCATAAACACAAAAAAGGCATTGATGGTGAAAATCTTGCACTCAGATCTTACCAGAATTCCATTCAGCGGGCAAAAGCAGCTGTTTATAAAACTACAACACACAGATAAACCCTTTCACTGAACAGTTTCAACAAAGGCTGGCAAGTACAGTATCATGTGACAGAAAAGCATACGGTCCTAGGTCAAAAGCCAACATGCTAAATGAGGTCACTTGAGGTAATGCCATAATATAATGCCTAATGAAACAGACTTGTACACTGAATGAGTCCACAATCCAAATGCAGTAACTTGTTCCCTTCGAAACAAGTAACACTTCCACACTATATTTGCCATGCAATCACAACCAAGATTTCTTGTTAAACATTTGGTTGGAGGTAATGCAGGTGAAACATTTCTAATTTTTAATCTGTGCAAGCTGCATGGAGGAAAGAGTAAAAGCAATGGTTCAAATAGCAAAGAAAGAAAAAAAAACTTTCTCTCATCTCAGTCTCAGTCAGAGGCATTAAATCTCAGCAGAAGTCATATGCAAAATGTTGCAACAAGGTTGTGCAATAACTTTGTTATAAGTAAATTCTGAAAACACTGAAACCCCAAATACTGAAAATACTCTAGAACTCTAGACATTCTTCCTTTCTTAATTAACTAAGAATTCAATGTGCTCTGAAATAGGATATTAAAACATGGCTAAGACAGCCACATAACAGACTTTAGAATCAATACTTGGAGGTATATACTGTCTTGGAAAGTCTCACTCAATAGCTTTGAGGCAACTTTACACACGCACGCCTGTAAAAAACACCTATCATGTATACAAACACACACATACATATAAACATATACACACTCATAAACAGATGTAAAGAAACAAATATATGCTGACAGTGCATCTATGTATATATGTTTATGTTTATGTATACTTATATGTATATATAAATACATATACATACATACATACATGCATATATACATACAGACATACAGACATACATATACATATATACATATATATATATATATATATATATATATATATATATATATATATATATATACATATATATATATACATATATACATATATACATATACATATATACATATATAGCATATATATGCATATATATGCATATATATATATATATATATATATATATATATATATATATATATATATATATATATATATATATATATATATATATATATATGTATATGTATATGTATATGTATATGTTATGTATATGTATATGTATATGTATATGTATATGTATATATATATATATATATATATATATGTATATGTATATATATATATATATATATGCATATGCATATGCATATGCATATATATATATATATATATATATATATATATATATATATATATATATATATATATATATATATATATGTATATATATGTATATATATATATATATATATATTATATATATATAATATATATATATATATATATATATATATATATATATATATATATATATATATATATATATATATATATATATATATATATATATACAGATGTATTTACACATCTTTATGAGCACTGAAGGGGCTTTCACACCCTTTACAAATCTGTTACATGACTAGGTAGGGTCAAATCTATGGGTGATAACAGAGATATCTCTAACAGATAAAACATCTTTATATCACCTGTTAAGAAGATGATGAGCTGATGTATAGATATTAGCAATGGTCACTGATGCTCCAACCACACAAGGGATTGTTCTTCAGGTAAACATAGTACTATGTGAACAACAATAAGTCCTATCTGAATTTTTTTGAAGGGTCTTTATATCAGGCTTGTATGTAATCAATAAACTACCATTTTTTTCTCAACAAGATCAAGGAAAGCTAAGCATCAGGTTATCCTGAACAGGCACTTCAAAGTGTGTGAGGGTACTTGGCACTAACAACAATGGAGTCATACACTTCATACAACATGAGGATGACACGTGTAAGACCACTCAGATCTAACCTCAAGAACCTATGGGCTTCTTGGGTTTAATTTTCTCATAGGAAAACTTCTGGCCTCTGTCCAGCAGGCGACCACTGCCTTCCTCCTCATACAGGGTCTTCTTTTTCAGGAAGTGGAAATGATCAAGGGCAAAGTTGTAAAAGTCATTCTCTAGTCGCCAGACCTGGGGGAATAAAATATAATGTATGCAAAAAAGCTTGAATGTTACAATATATTACAGTACATACACCTCTGTATTCCTGTTTGATTGGTCTTAATTTTGAAATAAGCTCTTTGTGAAAAAGACAAAAATTGAAATCTTAATACAATATCTAAATTAGGAATATGAGTAAAATTAAATTTTGGTACAACATCTTACCAATAGTTTAGCATCAACAAGTGCTCAATCACCATATTTCATTTTAAATCAATCACTAAAAAGAGACATTTTTCATACTATATCATGGTATAAAATGATTGTTATTATTCCCTAATATACAATATCATATGAGCGTTTATGACACGCTATAGTTTCATCTACTACACCCACAGATACCATATATATGTCTCTATTGCTTATCCATTTTCTCATACTTTTTTCTTATTAATAATATGCATGCAGTTAACATAATGATATACATCCCATTCTGCAAACTTTATCTATGCTTCTATCTAATGTGTTTTTTCGCAAGTTTCCTTTCAAACAATCTTCATCCTTTCAAACAAAGCTGTAGACACAGCACTTTGCATCAAACAGCAAAATCTTTAAAAATCATAATAATAAATAAATGTTTAAAAATAAACCTTACCTTTGTATTCTGCAGTTTTGCAATTGTTTCTTCCGAGGGCATGACCTTTTTCACTGTTTTTCTTAAATGCGATTTGGAACCTGTAATACAAAAGACTTACACTGCTCTTCTGACCATTACAACTATTGGTTATCATCAACTATTATTCTATTTCATTTAAATTATTCAATCCTATGAAGTGATGTGCTTGAATAATCACTCTTATAAAATGAAAAGAAAAAAAAAAAAATGCTCTTTCTCAATCAAAAACAGTTTCTAATGTATTTTTCTTATTGTAAAATACTGAAACAGATGCTTTGATAAATTGAAAATTATTTCAATCACATAAGAGAGCTCACTTTTTTCCCTACTCTTAGTCTGCCCCATCATTTCACAGCCAGTAAGCAGTTGGCACTATGAAACATGCTCACTGCAACAAATGTAGAAAAAGGTATGAATAATGACAAATATCTTCCCAGCACAAGAAATTATTTGACCTGTTTCATTATATATAAATCAGAAACACTTTTGCTGTATTTCTGTTGAAGATACACGCTAAACCAGTCAAATGTACCACTTTCGCTATGTATATATTCTTTCTTGTTCATACCTTTTTCTATATTTGGCACAACTAGAAAGGTGGACACCCCTTCCTCTCCCCATGATTAAAGAAACTTCATGTCCATACCCATAAGGTAACAATCCCCTTCTGGTAATACCCGCACTACTTGTAAAAATTATAGCTTACAAATGACATACCTGTGATATACAAATCAAGTGCCCCTTTGAACATCTGTGGGAGTGAGTATTCCAGCATGGCAACAAAATCTTTAAGTTCTTCTGTGACTCCAACAAGGAAATAATTGTGGACCAGGTTATGCTTTGCTTGCTCAAGAGCCCAAGCTGAACCTGGAACCCTGATTGCGAGAAAAAAATGGACAAGGATGAGAAAACAAATAAATAAGCATTGTGTTCTGCACAACTTCTGGTAGGACATTGTTACACATTGGAAGACATATTAGAAAGAATTGCTGAAAAAAGTCAGTCTATGTACTATCAAAAAAAAAAAAAAATCTTTATCTTTACTTGCAATCGATTAGGACCCGAGCAAATACTCTGTTGTGTGTGAGGCACTTTATTAGCTGCTCCCATGGCTAGTGTTGCCACATGAAAATCTCATTACAATACTTGAGGACTGAAACTAATGAACCAGATATTTTGATGACCATGTTTTGTTTTGTCTATGTTTAATTATCTTTTATTTTACTCACATCATGACTTAGAAGGCAAATAAGAACCAAACATATTTATCATAATATCCAATACCCCTCTAATAAATCAAATAATCAAACTATCATCAGTATACATGGGAATAATGTAAAGGAAATACAGTACTGCATGACCTCTGGTGTCCATGGTTTACATAAATCATGAGTGGGATTGTAAAACTTCAAATTGAGATGTAAATGTTATACATGGACGCATCCAAGTTAATATGGACTGGGAATGGTCTATGCACCTTATACACCAAGGAGACGTCTCTCAGTTTGTGAGAGCTATAACTGTTCTTCAAAAAAATGGAGTAAGTAATGGTGAGATTGTGCCATGACTTTGGAGGCTGTTTTAGCAGCAGGGGGAGAGAATGGAAATAATGAAAATCAAAAACCTGTATTATCTTTCTGTTAATCAATAAACTCTCATATTAAAAAACAAATATAGATCATTCTAAAGAAATTCATGCTAAGAGTTGAACTTTATTTTATGTCTATAAGGGCTGCAATGAAATAATCTTCGAAAATAACAACTGAAGACATGACCGCTCATTTGTCATACAGCAACATCTCTTTAATTAGAAAAAGATGAATTGGTGAACACCAGATTTCAACTTCTCCATATGTAAAAACAACACAATTTTGAGATAGGCATCATGCAAAAAAAAATATTTTGAAATTTAGCTATACATAAAAATGTTATTGAAAACTGAATTTGACTTGCCTCATATTTTCCAGGAGGGATAAGAATAAAATCAAGGAAAATGGAGACTAGGAAAAATTTAACCTTTCGATATAGCCATTATTTTTGCTAACATCCAAAGTAGGGTATAAATTTGTGTAGACATATGCAGAAATAAACTACTGGATAGTCTTTATACATCAATGTTCCCTTGAACTTCAACATATATCCATCTCTTTGCTAGTTCTAAATAACTTCAGGAAATATAAACTTTCAATGAAAATGTATCCTCTGTCAGCGCCATCTCTTGGTTCTTAATTGCACTGCTCTTATTTTTTTGTGTCCTTTTTTCCTTTGGACTGCATGTGTTGCCACTCGATATTATGCTATACATTTTTTTATTTCACATACAGATAATTAAAGTTACATTTTACTAATTTCTAACGACTCCAGTACATACCTAATAATGTTAATGTATCGCACAACATGCATTCCTAGGATTACGTTGCTAACTGGCTTGCCTCCCAATTCCATTACAATTTGTTGATTTTTCATATTACTTTGTGTAAAGGGTTATGATTTTTTTTTCTGATTGTACATCTCATTGTTTTTTCAATATACTTTATAATCAAAATATTAGAATTACAAAACTCAACATAAATAATGAGTAAATATTTTGGACTATATGTTTCTCTTAAAAAAGTGTCCTTCTTTTTAATAACAACCAAACCTCCAACCACTATTCAACATCTGAATTTACAAACCAGCAATCTGAATGGTGACCACAGAAGAAGGGGACTTGCAGCCATAAGTGGTTCATTGAACAGTCTGGATGGTCCTTAGCCACACATTCATCCAAGGTCTGAAATTGATAATATGTAGTCAAGAGTTCCTGAGTTTTAATTGTTAGCTTATCCAGTTGAATTGATACCTACTTGACAAACAACAAAATGTAAAAGCAATATACTTATGTACAATTTCACATGGCTAAAACTAATCAACCTAAATCCAAGATTCAGTACAAATGCTTCACAATAATACACACAAATACAATACATAAATAATTCCTGGGCTTGTCATTTGACTTTCATATTCAAACTGTTAATCAATTATCAATGATCTTTTTTATGTAAGGTCTTTTGATTTGGTAAGAAAGAACAAACAGAAAGCAAAAAGGAGGAAGATTTTCACAAAATAAAAGCCCCAAAGTTAAGGCATTTACTCTGAATGATGACATTTGGGACCTTAAACACAGACTTCTAAGTAAAAGTAGGTCAACCTTATAAACAAATATGTTAGTCTGGTGATATGTTAAGTCTTTATGAGAACTTAATACACTGCTTAGGAGACATATACAACAAATCATTTCCTGTAAAAACATTGCACAAAAACAATCCAGTATTCAGGTACAGGCAATTCACTCTATGTAATTGAATTTGTATAAAGTAATAGGCCACAAAAATGTGAAAGTTCCAGTGCTTTCTTGTGAAATGAAAGTATTTAGAGTCGGTTCTAGGCAGCAATGCTAAATGGGATAACTGTCTACCAAGAGTTCCATTTTTCTTATATTCAGCTGATAAGTTATTCAAGTATACATCAGATCATGTTACTTTACATTTCAGAGGAACTTTTGATGTGTTTTGTCTATCAGAGTAAGGATCTAATAAAAGGAGGAGAGCTGTTCCTGCAAGAGTAACATGGTAACTTTTCAAAACATTGACATGGCTTGACACCAATTTATAATATTTCAGAAAATGGAAAGCAGGACCACAAATAATCAATCTAATATGGTAATAAAGGCTTTCATGATCTTATGGATAAGTCACAAAAAATGGCACTTAAATGACTATGCAGCATATTCCCCTTCCCCCTTAAAGGAAGCTGTATCTTGTGATCTGACATCACTGAGGTACATCAGCATGGTAAACAATCACTACTATCTACACTCATTTAATTCACATCTTAAAATTATAAATGTGTCAAAATTCACATCATGAGACTTGAAAACACTACAATAACATTCCAGCATCTTTTCGAAATGCTGATACAGGAGATATGTCCCTTAGCAGTTAATCATGCACAACAGCAACTCTTGAAGACATCTTACAATTCTTACCATCTTATCACCCATCCTTTTACGTATGAGATATGGCCGCAGATCATCCCCATACCGAACAAAGTAATAGTAAGAGACAAGGCGATCCAAAGGCTTTCTGATGATATTGATGTACAGCGGCTGTCTACTCACACCAAACCTAACAAATTCATTTTTAGAAGTCAGTCAATAGATATAGATACAGATGCAGGTTCTTTATCTTTCTGAGACACGTGATAATTACACTAAAAAAAAATGAAAACAAGATCTTCATCAACAACTGTTTATGAAATTTTCATGATATACAACAATGTCAGTATGAACTTCAAGCTATAAAGAATCATATTTAAACATTTACCCCCTAAAAAATTGTCTTAACATAAAGTATGTATGTACAGCTATATATCCTTATACATGGGGTAACATAAACTAATACTGGGACTGCTGGAAACACTTCCATAACTTTATTATGGATTCTGGCCTTGCCTCTTGCGATTTTCGTTTCACTTAACCTGCATCAGCAACAGATTTCTCTATAGGGTCACATTTCATAAGGAACAAAAATATCATATATATAAAAAAAATGGATGGTTTGCAACAAGGTGAAACAAGAGTCTCCCAAAGCCTTGCACAAAATCCACAAGAAAGGGTTCTCTAAGCGTTTCCAAAATGGGAAAAAAATTGTAAAAAAATGGGACATAGGCATTACATCTCCAAGAGAATTCTCTGACAAATGCCTAATAGATTCATTCAGGCTACCTTTGGATACATATAGGCAAACACCTGTATGTGGGTGTCCATGTGTACATATATATGTGTATATTTGTATATGTATGGATGTGCATGTGTGTGTTTTTGGCTTGCACATGTGTTTTTATATACATGGAACATACCTATATATTACATATTCATATACATATACTGCAGGTGTTAAGTAGACTGTCAACAGACAGAGATGGAAACAGACAGTAATAGAGAGAGAAAGGTAAAAAAAGCCTAACATAAAATGAGACAGAGACAATAAGAAACCAAAACAAACAAAGGCAGAGACAAAAAGAGAGACACAGACAGAAACAAAGACAGATACAGGATAAAGATAGACAGCTAGACAGATAAATAAAATAACATACAGACAGACAGATAGACAGAGACTGACAGAGACAGATAACAATTATACAGACAGATAGCTAGATCAATAAATAGACAGATATATAGACAGACAGACAGACAGACAGACAGACAGATAGATAGTCAGGCACACAGACAGACAAATAAATAGATAGACAGATAACTAGACAGAGAGAGATAGAGAGATGGATAGAATGATATAGAGATAGATAGATAGGTTGCCAGGCAGAGAGAAAGTCATGGGCAGACAGACAGATAAACTTACTGACTGACTGATATATGAACAGATACACAGACAGATAGATAGATAGACAGATAAGTAGATACACACACAGATAGATAGATATAGAGATAGATATCAAACATATAGATTGACTGATAGACTGAGAGATGTAAAAATATACAGACAGAGAAATATGAGATATACAGACAGAGATACAGACTTGAAAACTACTTGAAAAAAATAACTTACCTATTAAAATCAAGGTACGCGATGTGGCCGTGATAAATTCCCGGCTTTTTCTCTACCCAGTTTGATATGTTGTATACAAACCGCATCTGAGCACAACAGCAAAGAGACATTTTAGGATTTTTTTTACTTGGTGTGGAAGTGAAAACAAATTCCAAACAACTGTATATAAAAGATATGTGTTTTAAAGCTGTTTATTCCATACTGCACATTATATGCAAGGTAACTTTCATGATATTTCATCATGATTTCGATAGGAGTAAGTACCAATAGGTTAGAAATACTGCAACTACTCAAACTAAACATATCACATAATATTCAAACTATACCAATACATTCTTCCTGTCTGTCAATCAAACTACATCATTCAGTATTCAATATGAAAATAGCCTGCGTACAGTGTTTCGAAAGCCTTTCCATAATAAATCTCCAAACACGAACTTCAAGGCTTTTGAGATTTCTAGAAATATACTGCAGAAAACTTAGAAAATATTACCCTTTTGCGCATGCAACATTTCGCATCATCAATAAAGGATATTTTTTTTCTTCTTTTTATAAAAATCTAACTACACCTCCTCTCCAATCATAACACTTTTAATCCATACCATAACTGCATGCCCTTACCTGATCTGTTAATGATAAAGTCGG